TCTCACACACATCACGCTCCGCCCTCGGGGGGCAGGTGCACCACAACGAGCGACATACCCCTAACCTGCACCCTGACGTGATCGGCGTCCGGAGGCGCTGGCGTCGTCCGCTCAGCCGCGCTGGCCTTACAGACGGGGCAAGTCATTCGCCGGTGCGAGCCGCGCTGCGTCGCAAGCCACTTCCGGATGCAGGTCTCGTGGAAGCTGTGCGAGCACGGCAGTCCCGCCGCCGCATCGCCGACGACGAGCTCCTCGAGGCAGATGGCGCACAAGTCCTCCTGCTCCTCCTCAGCTGCCTCCTCTGATGGCGCAGGAGCGCACTCGCTCGCCTCAGAAGTGGACGTCCGGCGAGCATAGGAGTACATTCGGAGGACATTGGAGGGGATCTCGATTCCTGGCTCTGCGGCCGGCCTGACAGCCTCCGCACGCTGGCGAGCATCATGCCAGCTATACGGACCGGGGCTCGCAGACCGTCCTGACGCAAGCTGGCCCTCCACTTGGTCAATCGTTCTGCCGCGCATCAACTCGCACACCTTAAGCAAGGCCGAGAGGATGAGGAAGAGTGTCGTTCCGGCGCCCATCAGCACAACCACGAAGAGGAGGATCTGCACGCTCTCCATTCGTTGACGCGGCGAGGGCGCGAGGGCGGCGGCTGGAACGCGGCGGTTCGGCGCGCTGGGCCTCGTGCTCAAGCGCGAGCACCCTCTCGTCCCCGTGCGCTCAGTCTGATGCCCAGGCCGCCGTGGTTAGAGTGGAGTCAAGAAGAAAAACGCGGCCGCCCCCTGGTCTGGATGCATGCGCGCCGCTTGAGACATGGGCTAGCTCCCGGGAAACCGGGCCCACACAAGTAGGAAGTGGTTACTGAACGTGTGGGAGCAGTGTGCACAGTCCAGGGGTCCACCAATGTGGACCCTTGTACGTGCCTGTCAGTGCTACGGGAATGTGGCACAGACCTGTGAGATGTGCATGCACCCTCCGCTCCGGGGTGTGTGCACGCTGGCTAGGAGGGGAGGTCGGGCCCCGCGCCCGTCGGATGATCATCGGAAGGCGAACAGGAGGAAGAACTCAGAGGAGAGGGGAGACTCCTCCGGAGGGAGGATGAGGACCCCGCGAAGGGGCCCTGAGCGGTGACGTCGTGTGAGAGTGCGTGTCGTGTTCATGTCTGGTGTTCATTATAGCTCCGAGTAGAGGGGGCGGTCTGCTGCTAGGGGAAACCCGGAGCGCGGAGCCAACCCTCGGAGACCCGTGTTTACTTTACAGCCCTTTCCCTGCGAACGCGCACTCCCCCTAGGGGTCAGGGCTCTCTAGCCCGTAGCCCGATACCGACCATCCGGCCCGCTGGGTGCGCTTCTTAGCTCCTCGGCCCTGGATGTGAGGTTACCGACTGCACTCCTAAGTGCTCCAAGTGCGTCCCAGCAGAGCGATGAGGCCGAGGAGAGCGATGAGTCAGAGGATGAAACAGCAGGAGAGAGAACGACGAGAGTGAGAAGATCGCGAGGCGGGAAGGTCTTAGGTCGCTGCGAGAATCGGCGAGAGACTGCAAAGAGAGCAGAGAGAGTGTGTGTGTGTGTATCGCGCGCCTTGCGGGGGGGGGCGCGGAAAAGAGGAACCTCTTAGCGCCATCGCCATGGTGCTGCAAGCAGCGCCGGGCAACGACGGCTTACAGCCAGAGAGAGATAGGTTCATATAGGTAGGAAGAGGTAGACGCCCGAGGGTGGGTGACGGCTAGTACCACACTCCCCTCCTTAAAATCCCTGTATGGTGGCGGCGTGCCGTCCTTCCTCCTCCTCCCATCCCTCCCTTGGGTTGTCTCCCTCGGGACATGTCCGCCTATTGCGGGAAAGCCACAAGACAGACGCGTGACTCACACTCC